CAGAATTCAGACCTTCTTTTCAACATATTTACCAAAATTGGTGTATTATTAAGGGGAAAGGTCCTGAGAAAATTTTATCTCTCTGAAATTTTTTAGCAAGATCTCAAACTTTGAATGGCTTGTTTTGGGCTATGATCTGTTCACAGTTATCATTAAAAAAAGTCCAGGCGAAGCAATTTTCAAAGCCTTCCAAATACGGTGTGTCCTCAACTATATGCTGTGTCTGCCTAACTATCACCGTCGAGACTCCTCTAAGCCTCACAAAATTAAACTGACTAAATAACTGATGCCGGTAAACCAGAAGAGCTGAAGCAACATATTTTTAGGACGCTGGTTCCTCAGTTCATAATGCAAACACAAAACAGTGGAGGTCAAGTTGACGTCTTAAAAAAAAGTCAGAGCACCCATTTGACAGCAGTAAGCCCCTCAGGAACATTTAGCAGACTCTGTGGTGGTGGTGCACAGTTCTGCCGAGCAGCGACACCTGCACAAATAGAGTGCCACCTTCATGGAAGAATCATCAGAAGAAAAACTTTCCACTATCCACAACCCAAAATTCTCCATCCAGACTTCTGCAAATAAAAGTCTAAACAAACCTGATGCATTCTGAAAAACAGTCCTGTAGACTGATGATGGTAAAATGAAATTTCAGAGGGCGTGCAATGAACGCAAATGTGTTTTGAGGGAAAAGGGGTGCAGAAATGTATAAAAGCAACACCTTTTCAAATCCCGAGGACAGGGCTGCATGGATCGTGCAGTCAGTAGCATGGAATGGAAGGATTAAATTAATCCACAGCAAATCCTGGAGGCAAACATCACAATGCATGTAAAAGCTGAATGGAATGGCTTCTAAAACAACATACAGATCCTAAACATACCTTAAAATAAAGTAAATGACTTTCTCAAGAAGTATAAGTTTATAAGTTTCTGACATGATCCTCAAAATCCCAAAGAAACTGTGCATGAAATATTTTAATTGTGTTCATTTTTAACTTCAGTTCCTTTGTAAACCGGGTCCATTTGAGAGTACTACCACATGGAGTCTCCAGAGCTGGATCTGTACTCTAAAGCAAATGCTTGCTCTTTCTTTAATCCATTACTTTCAGCTGAATATTTCAGCCATTTGGATCTAAAGTTTAGCTTTCCTTTTCATCTGCATGTTTATCAACTGATTTATCTGCTTGATCAGTGTTTTTGTGCACTTTTACTGCACTCTAATTGTGTGGTTCAGGTGTTATGATGGCCTCAGTCTACAGACCCAGACATTTACACACATACGCCGAATGTGCGAGCTTGCTTACAGTCCAGCAGGACACACACAATCGCCACAGCTGGGTGCTTTTTTCCGTCACATAGCAGCTGAAACAACAATTGTTCTCACAGCGTAAGACCATTGTGTGTGTGCACTGTCTCAAACGCTTCAACAGTCTGTCTCCTTGTCTCTCACTCACCCTGCAAATCTCGAGGGATGCCCAGTTTGACGTAAAGAGCAAAAGTTTCTAAAACGTTTCACTGCTTTTGCACTTGTGCTTTTCTTTCTCACTGTGTGGTGCTTTGGCCAGTGTTTCAGTTTAAGCTACTGATACCAACACAAACACGGAGAGCAGTCTGAGATTTTACTGAAATGAGCTGCTGTAACAATACAATTAGGCCACAGCCTGTTTCCATCACAGGGGAAATCCTGCTGCCTGGTTGGCCACTGATAGGAGTGAGACGAGAGAAAGAGTGAGAGAGGAGGATGAGAATGATAAGAGAAAAGCAAAGTGTAGGGGGATACGTGAGGAGGACATCTGTGATCCAGTCCAGAGGGAAAACAGCGCAGAGGTACCGTAAGAATGTAGGGGGTGAAACATACGAATGAAAGGCCGGAGAGGAAAAGGTTATGATAAAATACACAAATGTTGAGCAAGCAGCAAGGGTTAGTTAACCAGAGGAAAGACGAGGCAACTTAGAAGGCACAATTGTACCACTTCGGGACAGGATGCAGCTGAGCAGGAACAAAGCACTAAGAAAGACAAAAAAAAACCAACAAAAAAAAACATGTTTGTGTGACAGTGTTGATTCTTTATCTTGAAAATAAACCCCAGAAGCAGCCAGGAAAGTGTCTCTGGCCTTTGTGTTGCATATAAAACAAAGTGTTTCTGTAAAATCTGTCCTATAAATAAACATCTGTTTTTGTTTTCACATCTGGATTAAATATTACGATGACATCCTATTTTTTTTCCACTTAAAAATGTTGATGACCTCTGTTTTGTTTTGCTTCTTTTTCTTTTTTAAATTTACTTATTAACATATTCATTTATTCTTTTAGTGAGCATGAGGAAAATCATATAAGAAACTGTGGATGTTAATCTTTAAATATGCTCAACAATGACTGCAAAAGTGCATGTAAAAATTACAGGTCAAACATTATATATTTTTTATGGTTACCATTATGGCTACTTGATGTTTGCATCCACTGCTGTCTAAATGTCCAGGTCCGGGAACAGCCAACTACATGATTTCTTACTCTTATGGTAAATGTATGGGTACTTATCCCATACGTTCCTGTACAGAAAATCACTTTGGCAAACTACCATGCTGTGGTTACCCCTTTATAACTTTTTATGCATGGCAACCAGGGAAGAAAAGCAGGCCCAGTTCATTCATCCAGGCTTCAGTCATATTGAAGCATTTAAGGGTTCTGTATTAAACACCATTTGAAAGTATATAAAACAGAATTCACCAAGGCCTGACTTTTGCCATGGGATTTGACTCTTAAAAGCACTTTAATTTAAATGAGATAATAACTTTAAATGACATCATATGTTTTGCCTTAACTTAATTCGTCTATTCAGGACAATGGGTGAAGCCATACACATGGATCCCTGCTGTCTGGTGGCGACCACAAGAACACTGATTTCTTTTGTGTGTGTGTGTGTGCTTTAATTTAAATGAAAAGAAGTCATGAATAGATTAATGAGCAAAGATGGATAAATATTTCAGAATGTGCTGGTTGAACATCGTAAGCAGGCATCTAAAGAACTCGTACATATTCTGCTTCCTCTTATTTTCTCACTAGAGTGATTGTTATGAAACTACAAAACAGTTAATGAAACTGACAGAATGTAACGTAATAGGAAACGCTGCATAAATTTACTTTGCAAAACTCATCTTAAGTGTTTCCTAATGTGTCCCGTCGCCTTAAAGAAAAGCAATTTGTCTCATAACTGAAACAAAATAAGATCTGTTAAGCCAACCAGTTAGATCAGATTATATTTGACTTTATTAATAGCCCGAGTTTGACACATACAACAGTACATAAAGACAACATTAGCAGCCATAAAAAGTCAGACGGTGGTGGTTTTTTATGATCCAGTTCAGCCTCCTTAGGTGCCTCTCTGAGCCAGCCAGCGCCAGGGGACTGATTTACTTGTCACACAAGGGGGACATATTTAGACTGGATGTGCTGGAGAGAGTGTGCAGTAAAGCTGGCAGGGCAGTGGATGACCCAGACAGTGGGAGTGTGGGGGAGACACATAAGACACACCAGTTAACCTCCTGCCATTAAACCAGCTTGATTTCTGACCAAGGGCCATGGGACAATGGAGTGTACTGCACTAATTACACACTCTGACACAGATAATAGGACATATACTTGCTCTTTATGAGAACAAACAGACGTCTGTAGATCTCTTTAACAACTTGCAGTTTTAGCAGAAATAAAAGGTCTTAAATATGGCTTTGCAGTGTGCCGTCTTTGCAGAAGCAAGAGACTTGATTAAAACATGTCTCTTGATGACTGAATCAACAGACAGTTGTCTTGAAATGTCAGAGTACTGGTTGATGCCAATCCACCCAGAATGTGCAGTGCTAGGTGGATTGTGACTAAATATGTCTGTGTTTATATTAACCTTTCTTAGGTGTCAAATTTTAATTCCCTCAGCATTTACCGTACACAGTACAGTCACAAGGAAATGCAGGGTGTGTCTATGTGCTAGGTAAGACAAATTATATGGGACCACCAACCCGAGACCACCATAATATTCCGAGACCAATAAGTAAAACGTCACAAAGACTTTCCATCGCAAGTCTGCATATACATGGAAAAATAAGCTGTAATTTGTTCATACAAAAAGGGTTTCGGTGATTTCATCTGTAAGTTTTCAGAATTATCCATGTTTTACTGAAACAAAAACAAAAGAAATGAGGTTAATTACAAAGAAACCTGCAATAAAAAGAGTTCAATTTGTAAAAAATAAAAAATAAAAAATAATAATAATAATAATCTATATATAACACTTTAAAGCCACCCTATTTTATTATTTTTTTAAACAATTTATTTACTTTTATAAAGTAACATAGATAAAATTAAATAAAACTCTACAAACTGATAAAAACAAGAAACAAATACAGGCCTGCTACAAAATATTATGAGTCAGGTGTAACTTTGATTTTTTTGTCTCAAATTCAGCAATATATTCTTTATCATTATTAGTAAACCAGAGCTATTACTGAGTGCATACACCTTTCTTACCCTATATAAAAAGACAAGTATTTAATTTCAAGCAGTTTGAGTGTTGAAGGAAAATATCACTTCTCCACATAGTATCATCTATTTTAAAGTCATAGAAACTTTGAAAAGTTTAGCCTGATGAAATTCATCATATATTATGATTTATTTTTACTTTCGCGTGGTTCTAAACGACTAAATGAAAAGCTTCCATGTGTGCAAAAAAAGTTTAAGCAAATAAAAAAAGGCATAAATAAAAGTAACAGTAAAAGTTAGCAGATGAGTATTTGGGCTGGTTCACAACAAAATCATCGTAATAAGAGAGACTGAGGTCTGGACGCGCTGCTCTGATCGCTGCCTGTCCCGCCACTGACAGTAAAGCGGGTAACCAAATATTCAAAAACAATACGTCATCCCACAATGCAGCGCGCTTACGTTCTCCTTTACAGCATTACCTCATCCCACAATCCACCGCGAGATTAAGAATCTTCTGGGTGGTGGTCGTCTAGGCAACGCGCCTTATCGGAGGACTCAGCCCCGCCTCAGAGACACGCCCCTCAGCCAATGGGAGAGCCCCGTCATGACATCATGGTTATTTTTAGAGAGGCAGCGGCAGCAGATAAGGTTTGCCTCCACGCTGGACCGCTCAGAGTATACACACACGCAAGCGGTGAGCACGCCGGAGACGCTCGGTGGCTGACAGGAAAAGTTAGAGCCGCGAGGCGCTTTTCATTCACGGACTCAATATAAGTCTGGATACTTTGACAAAAGCTTTGTGAACAATTTCCACTCAACATAGAACAACCGACCATCGCTTGGTGAAAGAAGTAAGTTCTGATTCCTGTGTCGAGAAAAGTGCGCTCTCAAAGTTTGGAAGTTTTTACGCACAGAGAGGACGTTTGGAAACCAGTGTTTTCCTCCTCGGTAACCAGGAAGAAGAGAAGGGGGGACGGAAAGCTGTTTTTGTAGAAGACTGTGTAGCTACATTCGGTTTTTGTTTTATTTTTTTCTTCTATGTATACCAAGATGGAAACTACTTTCTATGACGACTCACTCAACGCTTTCTCCCAGCACGACAACGCCGGCTACGGATACAGCAACCCCAAAGCGCTGAAACACAACATGACACTGAACCTCACCGACCCGCCGAGCGCTCTGAAACCTCACCTCCGCGCCAAAGCTGGCGACATCCTCACCTCCCCCGACGTGGGTTTGCTGAAGCTGGCCTCTCCGGAGCTGGAGAGGCTGATCATCCAGTCCAGCAACGGACTCATCACCACCACGCCGACCCCGACCCAGTTCCTGTGCCCCAAGAATGTCACTGACGAGCAGGAGGGCTTCGCGGAGGGGTTTGTGCGCGCCCTGGCTGAGCTCCACCACCAGAACATGCCGGGCACAACAAACGTGAGTGTCACCTCGACTCCACCGGCAACTGTCAACACTGCGCTGCCGCCTGTTTCATCTGTTGCCGGTGCCACCGTATACAACAACAATGCTGCCATGCGCTCTGAGTCGCCGGTTTATGAGGACTTGAACACTTTCAACCCGGCCATCAGTACCGTGTCGGCACCAAACTACACCACCTCAGCCCCCACTATGTCCTTCTCTGCTGCCCCACCTCAGCTTCCCATCTACGGCCAGCCTTCCCCTGCCCAGCTCCCCCGGCTCACTGCGCTCAAAGAGGAGCCCCAAACCGTGCCCGAGATGCCAGGGGAGACCCCTCCTCTTTCTCCAATCGATATGGAGAGTCAGGAGCGCATCAAGGCTGAGAGAAAGCGGATGAGAAACCGCATCGCTGCCTCCAAATGCCGGAAGAGGAAGCTGGAGCGGATCTCAAGGCTGGAGGAGAAAGTGAAGACCCTAAAGTCACAGAACTCCGAGCTCGCATCCACCGCCAACATGTTGCGCGAGCAGGTGGCCCAGCTGAAGCAGAAGGTGATGAACCACGTAAACAGCGGGTGCCAGCTTATGTTAACGCAGCAGCTCCAGACCTTCTGAGGTGGTGTCAGCGACAGAGGAGAGAGAGAAAAGACTGTAGTTGAAAGAATAGGACGCTTCCTGTGGTAGTGAGTGTCTGCGACTCCCGAAATCGTTCCGGTATTTGGGATGATGTGGCGCGACACTGGCGGGACCGGGGACGGTACCAAACTGAGTGCCACGCGCTCCCCAGTGGCGCGTCCTAGAGATGGGCTCAGGACTGTGACAATAGCCATGAACCAGAAGGGACATGGCAACAGGCAGAAACCCCTTCTGTTTCTGTGTCGTGCTGTTTTTCTTTACAGAACTGGACAGGACTGACGTTTTCTTGATTTACACCGAGCCCTGCATGGACTTCATCATGACCATCAATGGAAAAACTCAGTATTAGAGGATTTTTTTTTTTAAATCACACGCAATACAGACTTTTCTTGCTGTAGCCATAATTAATGGCCTCACTTTTTAGGCGTGTTGGTCAACTCTAAACGGCTGAAAAGTTGCAACAAATGCTGCCTGACTCATGAGTTAAAGTACAATGTACATTTTTTTCTTAATTGTAAGAAATTAAGTTAGAAAAGCTTCAAGATTTACTTGTTTTTTTCTAAAGCTGTTAATGGGGTTTCACTCATTGTTATATGTATATAAGATCAACTTGGAGTACTTATGTTTACCATTTGTAATAAGAATACTGTATAATTTTTTATGTTTGTTTTCTGAGCACTTAAGAAATTAATCAATATTTAAGAAAATAAACCAGATAAAATGAAGCAACATCGCCTCTGTGTACTTGTAAGAGTGTGACATAAAAAGTGGGTGTGCCACGAAGAAGTCAAACAATAAAACATGTTGCAACATGTTGTAAGAGCTGCTAGTGCTGAGTACCTCAAGCTAAATTCCATTAGTACTGGTATTGATTGAAGCTGAGTGATTGTGTTTCAGCTGGCAGGCCGGGCTCACTTACTCCTGATGGAGGCCAGTTCTGCAAATTGGGGTTGTAGAGTTTGCGATCTCCACTTTTGTGTCTCAGCTCACACAGGCTCAGAAGAAGAAAAGTGTAACTGCCCTATAAAGTCTCCCATTGCTTTGAGCAATAAGTAACATTTTCACATCATGTAACACTCAGTCACAATAGGCTAAGGTGTGCAACCCTTAATTAAGAAATCTGGAACTGATTTGATTAATACGACATCTCCCTTGCTATTTCATCATTCAGTCATTCACCATTGCTCTGTCCTTTTGTAAGTATTCAAAAAGGTTTCAGCATGTCAAAGAAAAAAAAGAAGTGTTAGGTTCTGAAGTGCAAATCTCTGTATGGGATAAATTAATACAATAAACTGTGGCTTGGTGGGATTATGTATATATATGGTGAGTCTTTTTTTTTAATCGCATAGTCATCTTTCAGTCAGTACCAGCTAAAAGAACAAACAATAACCCAAACAAAGGCTTTGTGGTGATGGCTTTAACCACAAGAAAAAAGAAAATACAAGCCTGGAGCTCAGTATCTCAAAGTGCTGAATATTCTTTAACTTATTTACGGTACAGCAATGTGGGCCTATAAATATGTTATGAGCACTTTTGAAATAAATTGGGATTTTTTTTTTTTTTTTGGGGGGGGGGGTGTCAAATTGTTCACTTATAAAAAAACAGGCGTAAATTTTTTTTCTTGATGTCTTCACTAAACCCAGCAATTAAAGTGAGTCTCGTTCATGCTTACGCAGCAGGTGCAGCTCAGGCGTGGCCTACAGCAGATAAAAGGAGTGGGCTTTCAAATACTGCTGGACATCAGCACGTGTGCTGCTCTTAATGAAACACTGGAGGGCGACATACATTGGGGTGGATTACCGGAGAAATTGCCTGAAGTGCTCGAAATCTCCACAGATCTGTTGCAATTTATATCGGGTTATCAGATATTAATTTGTGTGGAAATTAATAGAGACTGTCATATAGAGTGTAAATAAAACAGAACGGGTTGTTGACTGAATACCTAACGACGTCTCTGACACACTGTGATGCTAAGGCTGACAGAATATTAAATGTTCTCTTTCTTTTCAATCTTTATATTTTCCGATTTTATTTTTTGTTTGCTTTTTAATTCTTTTATATACAAACAAACATCAAATATCTTTATAACACAACCTGTTTGAACACGTCAAATAAGGGAATTCAGGTGTTGTCTTTGTTTTAATTGTTTGTATTATTTTTCCTTAATTAATAGAGACAATCTCTGTGGGAGACATATCCAAATAGACACTTTTCTCCCTTTCCCTTTAATTATCCCTTTAGGAATCCCGATTTCTTTACAAATCTGCTCTGATTTCTCAAACTTGGGGCATTGTGACATCATTCCGGAAAGCAGTGCCCTCCCCTGCCATATAAGGAGAGGGAACGCTCGGAAGACCCACGTCAGGACCGAGGAGGCGTTTATTACGGGAAGTGAATCGACTGACTCCATAATCTCCTCTTTGCATAATACGATGTGTCCTGAGACGTAATCTAAAGAATAGACCGGACTTAATTAAACAGGCAAATCCATCAAAGGACTCCAAGGGCGATTAAAAGCAGACGTCTAGATGTTAAATATCAGGAGATTATAATAAAAACAAACGTTCTTTAACAAAATCCGCATTCTGTAGAATAGTTAACTAACAGCTCACATAAATGATAATAGGGACAATAGAACAGAAATAATATGTTGATCGATCTAGTTGCTTGGTATCCAGGCTATTTTATACCTAAACTTCCCCACATTCAAAGGGGGCATATGTATATTTTTACTAAAGAAGTTTACATCTATTTGAAAGTTAAAGTTACTTTGAAAATGTTTGCATTATAGTACAGACTTCAGCCACCCCCTTAGTCACACTATAGAGTCTTTAATTTACGCATCTAATCTATAAAATAAAATGGATTGTTATACAAAAACATGCTGCTTCATGCTAATAAATACTGTTAGACTGTCTCCATGAGACTTTATGCAGCAGCATTCTGCTGCATAAAGTCTAACTGTACTTGTATTGGGGGAGTTTCTTTCAGGGTATAAAACTTCTGCTAATTTTACTCATAAATATTATTAATAGCTCTATATCTCTTCATCAAATGATAAAAGGAAATCAAAAGTTGTCATTATTATATATCAAACCGATTTTGACATTTAGGCCAAGAGTGATTCAGACATAAGGGAGAATCTTTCTTCTCCCCCACACACCATTATCTATTTTATCGCTTTCACAAACATGCAAACCAATGTTATTTTTACACAGCTATTATTCTTGTCACCTCTTACTAATACAATACTAATACAATAATTTCACAGTGATTGAGGATTGAAGTGCTATTACTAGATAAAACAATTAACTGCATCTAATGGAAACTTGACCGCGTAATTGCACAAAGGTCAGGTTGAGCCGGCTGAATCTGTACAGTGAAAGGCTTCTGTCTGTTGTAGTTGCTATGGGCGGGGTATTTTACTAAGCAATATGGTACAAAATACACAAACAGAAATCAGAACAACAAATTCTAACAACTGTGGCGCATGAAGGCTGAAGGAACATTTTTTTATTTTCCTGCAAATTTAAAATGTGGAATAATGTCAAAGGTTTTGAAAGCCATGCAGCATCAAATTCTAAGAACCCTTATGCAGTGGATGTGATCCGGACAAAGAGAAGGGATTTGGTTTATGGTATCTCACATACTGAGGATCTCCTGAATCTTTTGGTTGCAGAGGGGGTTATGACAACAGCAAGGAGATCTATTGTTTTGTCCATCAGGACCCATAAAGATCAGAACTCCAGAGTCCTGGACATCCTGGAGGCCAGAGGTGAACGAGCATGTCGGAAATTCTTCCATCCGTGTCTTATGCTGGCAGAACCTGAACTATACCAGCGAATCAAGACCTATGTAAGGAGTATGAACGAGCAAGTTCAAGATAACAGGAGACAGCTGATTGGGTATTTGCTGGAGAGAGATTGTGAATGGGGGGGAAAATTAACAGATCAAACTGGAACCCAGAGAACTTATACTAAAAGGATTAAAAAGGGATCTAGTGTTACAAAGAAAGGAAGTGGTACCATAGTACTTGCAACATCAGAGCATACACCAGCTCAAAGTAAACCAGAAAGCCTCATTTACATGGCTGCTAGAATAGGGGATCTCTTATTACTTGAGGAGCTGTTAAAAGACAGTGATATCAACACTGTCAATTCTTCCAAAGAAACTCTATTACATGTAGCTGCAGAAAATGGGCATTTATCCATCGCTGAGCTCTTGATTCAAAAAGGGGCTAGATTGGACCTCCAGAATGACGCTGGCCACACAGCTCTTCACAGAGCAGCCAGCAGAGGGCACACAGAGCTCATGAAGACCCTAGTGAAGGCTGGGGCCCCTATACATACTCTGGATTTGAAAGGCAAAACTCCCATTCACCTGGCAGCAGAAAATAGGCATCTGAAATCTGTAAAACTCTTGGTGGAGGAGGAAGCCAGGCAGTCTGAAAGTCACAGACAGAATATGTTTCTGCACATGGCTGCCATGGAAGATGATTGGAGGTTGGCTGAGTTGCTGTTGCAGAGCGGGGCCACTGTTGATGCCTTAAACAGCCATAACAAAGCAGCTCTGTTTTATGCAGTCAAGGAGAGCAATGAGAAAACAATGACTGTCCTTCTCAATGCAGGGGCTAAAGCTGACTATGATGTCATATATGAAGCCATTAATCTTCATCAAGAATCAATTCTCCAGCTGTTGCTTGGTGAGTTTGGTCCAGTTCTATTTCAATTCATTGCTTTGTTTTTGAGATGTTACACAAATACAGAATAAACCTGCAAAACATCCAAGCTCACGGCCAGTTTTGTTCAAACCACAGCTAATGCCAGAGGAGTCCTGAACAAAGATGCCCTGGGATCTGCTCTCTTTTCAGCTGTTCGAATGAACTTTGATGGTGCGGTGAGTGCACTGATAGACAGTGGAGCAGATGTGAACATGCGCGACGGTCGCAGATATACGCCTCTCCTACTGTCAGCTGAGCTGGGACACTCAGAAGTCTTCAGGTGACCTCTTTCAAAATAAATTCAGTGGCAATAAAGTAGCCCCCGTAGGCCTTCACACTCACACTCAAGAGCATTTCAACAAAATCAATCATATCATTATGGGAATCACGTAATTATGTAGTTTACTTAAAGAACATACTAGAATAAGAAGAACTTTGTCTAACTACCTTTATAAAATCCACCCTGCCTCATAAATGTTTATATTCACAAATATAATTTATGTATATGTTAAAAAAAAATAGCAGTGAGATATTTGTGGCACCAGATGCTGGTCTAAGTCAAATAGCAGAATAAAATCACGACTGTACAGGCGCAATGACACAAATGGGTTTAGAAAAGGCAAAATGCTCATCATTGTCCTTCTGTAACAAATATGTATTTTCCATGTTTGTTTCAAATTTTATATATATCATCATTTATGTTGTGTTGTACATATTTGGTGCAGAGCATATGCATCTATTTTAACTGTCCCTTTTCTGTATTTTTTTAGCAGCTAAGCCAAATATGTAATATCTTACATTTTGGCTTTTTTTATTCTAGTGTTCTCGTAGCAAAAAATGCAAAACTGGATGCTACTTTATCTGACCTCTCTTCAGCATTGCACTTGGCTGCTCGCAGTGGTAGCAAGCCCATAGTGCACACACTGCTAGAAAAAGGACTGGACCCAAACATTAAGGGAGCTAAAGGCCACACCCCTCTCCACCTGGCAGCTCAATGTGACGGGCCTGACATAACTGGTCTGCTGTTAAAAGGTGGAGCACAGGTAATTGTCAAAGCATTAACGGTTGCTATCAGTTCTGTAGATTTTCAGTATATTAATGCAAAGTTGTGTGTCATTGCTATAGGTAAATGTAGTAGGCCAGGATGGTCTGACCCCTCTGCATATAGCCAGCATGCAGGGTCACACAGACACAGTGATCCAACTTCTTCATAACAAGGCAGAACCTGGAGTCACAGACCGGCTGGGGAGGACAGCCCTGCACTGGGCAGCCTTTTCCCAGGTAGATAGCTGTGTGGTGGACTTGCTGCTGTCAGCCAAAGCTGACCCAGATGCCACTGATAATGAGAAAAAAACTCCCCTCCACCTGGCTGCTATGGAGGGAAAAGTAGACGTGGCGATTTCACTGCTTTCCCACAGGGCAAAGAGGCGAGCTAGAGACATGGATGGCTCCACTCCTCTTCATTACGCAGCAGCTGGTGGGCACGTCAGTGTGGTTACAGCCCTTCTTCAGCCGCTCAACAATAAGGGGACTGAAGACAGGAATGCATGGAGGAAAACACCACTTCATGCTGCAGCTGAGAAGGGACATGATAGTGTAGCTCTGCGGCTCCTGGAAGCTGGGGCCAAGATAAATGCTACAGATCACAATAAAGACACACCTCTGCACTGTGCTGCACGTGGTGGACACCACAAAGTAATGAAAATACTTGTAAACTGGGGACAAGCTGGAAATGTAGGATGGAGGAATAAAGCCAATCTGCAGGCTAAAAATAATATAGGGAAGACACCATTGCAAGTGGCAGAAACTAAACACACACCAGAGCATGAGAACACTGCAATTTTACTCAAGAGGAAGATGTTTCTTATGAAGTAAGCATCATAATTTGTGAACGATGTTGATCCAAGCACTTTGCAACTTGTTCTCTAGTGTGTGTCTTTCTCTTATTTTTTTTTATATTTTTCTCATTTTGCATATATCGCTCTTGATTCATTATATTTCTTCCTGTTTGCTATGTATTCTTGCAGTCAACTGTTCATATTTTATTCTTAGGCATGTACCTAAAGGTCGATTATTTTTTGCTCTTCTACTTTCATCCAAATTAAAATGAAACTCAGACTTTTCCTAGCACCTTCCATCGAATACACCTTCGGCTAAGCTGACTGATACCTTTTTGTGGTGAAGCATTAAAAAAATCTTTTTGCCCACCTGTGGTTTTAGAGTTAGTCACTTCAACGACCATACAGGAAAGTATGTTGATAGCATCTAGCCCAGCTTACACCTTTGCAGATCCTCTTTAAAGGTTATGCAAATTGTATGCAAGCCTGGGTTTGCAAGCGCTGGGTCAAACTCGAAGCACAGAAAGACAGCAGTGCTTGGTGACAGCTATTTTGAACCACATCCTTCATAAGAATAGAGCACATGACAAGCTGAATAACAATTTTATTCCTCCATTTATTTATTTTTATTTCAGTTTGTTGTTGTTTTTTTGGACAAGTAAAGGTCTAATGTCTGTATATGGAGGTGGCCTACTTGAACAATACTCTATAAAAATATCATTTGACGTAATAGGAAAACCCAAGCTTTTGGCCTCAGAAGCTATGATTGTCAGCTTTAGCAAGAAATGAGTTCTGGTACATGGTTCCATCAATTAGGGCAAGTCTTTCAGGTCCTGAAGCAGTAAAGCAGCCTCAGACCATCACATTACTACTGTTAAAGTTTAGTTCAAGCCAGCTTTAATGGGACTCAAACTCAATAAAAATATTAATTTTATTTTGCAATAGCTTTTTGCAGTAAGAGAAGAAAATAAAAATTAGTGATGAAAAAGTTGGTACACCCATGCACTTGGGCTAAATGAAATATGAATCAAAGGTCCTCATAAGGTGCCAGTGATTTGGGCCTCCTTAGGAAGAGGCTGGTGAAGCTGCTGAGAGTCTGGGGTAGTGTGATGCCAAGACCTACAGAGCTCTCCGAGGCCTTTAGAAAAGGACTGCAGAATATCTAAGATAATAAAACAAGATTAACTTAAGTCACAATAGTCTATCTATTGCCTTTCAAATAATTTGTATTGGTTGATGGAGTCAAAGCAAACCAATTTTAGAGAATATTATTTGCAAATGACACAATTTAGCTTTGGTTCTCGTCCCTTGCACAGTTTGTGCATTTTCTAATCTGGTAATGTTTGCTGTTTCTCCATAGATATTTTGTTTAGCTTCTGCTCCCCCCATCCACCCAGGGAAGAGAATAGAGGGTATTCCTCTGTATACCATGTTTAGCTTGGAGCATAAAGTTCCCTGAAGACTGCCGAATTGGTCCACTATAAGTAATGTTGAACTAAACTTAATAGTTGACAGTAATGCAAACCCCTGGAAGTTATTTCTGCTTGGAAATATTAGTTTCTGATGCCAAGATATTTTTGTTATATCAAAATATATAAGCTATGTAGGTATAACTTAAGTATACCTAACTCTTTTTCTACTGACACTAAATTAATCCATCTCTAAATCTAAAAAAAAGAAAAAAGCAGGAAGGAAGTGTTATGATATCTGCAACTTTAGGTTGTTGTTGAAAACAAGTGGTTTGTTGTTGACACAAGAAGTGACACGGGCGTTCTTCACTTCAGTAAAAATACAGATACTTGTGTTAAGAAAAATACTCCAGTCATAGTACTGAAGTACTCATTCAACTTATTTACTCAAATAAAAGTAAAAAAAAAAGAAGTTCAGGCTCTGAAATGTACTGAAAGTAAGAAAGTAAAAAGTAGCCTTTTGTAGAACTTTGTGCAAAGCTAACTGAACCTCATACTGTAACATAATAAAATAATATCCATCCATTCGCTTCCGCTTATCCTTTTCACTGGAGCCTATCCCAGCTGTCATGGGGCAAGAGGCAGGGTACACCCTGGACAGGTCACCAGTCTGTCACAGGGCTAACACACAGAGACAGACAACCATTCGCACTCACACTCCCGCCTTCATATCTATAGACAATTTGGATTAATCAATTAACCTATCCCCATAAACTGCATGTCTTTGGATGGTGGGAGGAAGCCAGAGTACCCGGAGGGAGCCAGAAAAATGATTACAGCCAGGGATGAAGGTGGGGAACAGGTGGGGAGAGAGCAGTTTTAGTGTCTCAGCATGGGGAAGGATCACAACTCACAATCATTTCTAATGCGAGCTCCAGTAGGTTTTTTTGCAGTTATGCTGCTGCTTTTTGTGGATTTGCACAGCTGAATTCAGCTAGATGTAAGCACGTTTCCCATGCTATGTTGCCGGAGCTCCATCCCGAACACTGGCAGCATTCTGTTTATACTGTCTTTACAAGACAGCATACAGCTGGTATAAGGGTTAACTTCAGTGAAGGAATCTAATCATCAGCTTACATTCAAATAAATTTCTGCTACTCTTGATGTATCCTAACTCCCACCTCCTAACTCCCAACAGCTCAGTGCTATAGATTCACCACAATATGGCAAACTAACCTGTTTACCCTGCACTAAACTGCTGAGAATTTGAATAATCCAAAGGTGATATAGCTTAGTTTGTTTTTAAGGATGTTTCACAATAGAAAAAAAATAACTTCACATCATATACAGATCCAATATTTGATTTAAAAATGAAGACATTACAAAACACACTGAGCAATCCTTGCTTTTATATATGGTAAATGGTAAATGGTCTGTATTTATATAGCGCTTTACTAGTCCCTAAGGACCCCAAAGCGCTTTACATATCCAGTCATCCACCCATTCACACACACATTCACACACTGTGAATATAAACTCTCTTCTTCTGCTCCTTCTTGTTTTATCTGTCTTTATCTCTGAATTAAGTTATCTTTCATTCTTTTCTCTTTCTGGGAAATGCAGCAGCTCGACCTTTAGTTAGAAGACACATTATGTGGAAAAACTGCACACAAACAGCTTCTGTATTTGCTGATATTATGGAAATAAATCATCATCCACTTTGGTTGGTTTTCTTCTGTGGTCTTTCAGCCCCTTTAGTGTTGCTGAGCTGGTCAGTGCAGTCATTCATTCATTTTAACAATGCACCAGATTGTTGATTCGTCCACTTCCAGCGCTGTTGCTCTCTCTCTGTTTATTTGGAGTTTTCAGCCTAATGATGGCCACAGCATGGCTTGCATTAACAACTCTTTTGGGTCTCACATTTAAAATGACAAAGACATAATTACAGTGAAAATCCATAAAATACAAATTCAACACCTCAACTTCAGATAGTAAGTCGCTACTTATTTGCAATATGTTTCTTGGGAAATATTACTTTTTTAGGGCCAGGTCGTTTTTTGGTTCTTTTGTTATTTCTACCCACCTCTGCACTTTATCATGTGAAATTAAAGTTTTGCATGTCTTAAATATATTAACATAATTTTGCAATACCATTTTTGCATTAGGAAAAGGAAAGAATAGAAAAATTGGTCATGGAAAAAAATTACACATGCACTTGAGCTGAATAAAATAAAAATCAAGGGTCCTTATAAAGTGACAGTGATTTGGGCCTCCTTGGGAAGAGGAGAGCCTGTGAAAATGAGAAACTGGGTATAAATATCGCTGCAATTCTAAAAGAGTTAATGCATTTTTCCCTTGAATTTCAGCAGAAAGTCTGCACTTCAATCACATATTGGTTGTTTACATATATTTGACCTATAATCCATGTGGTGGTGGTGTACAGAGGCAAAACTGCAAAAAAACAACAAAAACCCCCCCAATTTTGTCCCAAATATTACAGTAGTCACTGTATATTGATCATTTTTCACAAAATCAGTTATCATGCTGAGTTATCTTGTCAGGCTTTATGAAAAAGTATGTAAACGACACATTAAAAAAGTTGAGCATTTTAGTTTTGAGGATGTAATGTGTTACCTCGATTGGGACGGCTTCACCACCACCCTTCAGTGTATTTTTGTTTAGTTAGTGGTTAGTGGTTATTTTTCACATAAACATTGAAATGAGATGGCACAATGTTGCTTTATTTAGCCTCCTAAGACCCAAATTATTTCATGGCATGCATTTTTAATTTCTCTTTGCTGTTGTGACTTTATAGTGTTCGAACACTATAAAGTCACAATTGAGTAATCATGTGCAAAACTCCTTATTTGGTGTTTGAACACAGCAGCATTTTTCCTGAGTGCAAAAACAAAAAGAAAACAACAATTGTGCCCCTTTGAGCAATATGGCTCATTTAAAAGCCATTTGAAAGAGCAAAATTTAGTATTGTCGTCTAGACAACCCAAAATGTGATGTCCCTATATATGGACGCCAGGTCCTAGGAGGTTAAGGCAGGGTTAGGGTTAGGATGGAATTACCGTATGTTATAGGGTTTCTAGATTTATGTGGTATTTGTGTAACCATCATCCCCCTTTTTGTGTCTGGTAGGCTAGCCAATGTTGCCTTGTGCGCTAACTGGTAAGCAAGTCAGCTATGTTATATTAACCTTGGTAGGGTAGGGTTTTCATTTAGTTGACCTCATTTTGAGTTTTCTCCTATTTAGCATTTACTTTTATCTACTTTCTCTATACAGATTTGGATTTTAGTGATAAAGTTAATAATTTTTCATTTAATTAAAGTTACAAAAAGTACTTTTTATACCTTTGTCCTTGTCTTTATGTCTTATTGCTTGGTTCCTGGCACTTGTGTTGCCAGTTGCTGTTATTGTGTTGGACTAGGTTAAGCAACTCATCCAACACATTGGACTTGTTAATCTTGGCAAACATCATTGGATGGAATGGTGAGGATCGGTAGGAATTTAACTTAGTACATGTACTTGAGTATCTTACTGAAGTAAAGGTTTAATTTACTTAAGTGTTTCTATGTTACTCTACTTTCTGCCTCCTTAGATTCTTTTAGCTGCTCCCCCTTAAGGGATCACAACAACAGATAGCGCGTATATTTGATTTGACAAATGAATTCTTGGCACAAACCCAAAAAGATCTGTAATAGAGTTACTTTCTGTATTTTGCTGATTTTTGT